TTAAATGTAATTGAACTTTAAAAAATCCGTAAATTAATGAATTATAATATTCGTAAACGACATTTACGAAAAAAGTTAATTAAATATGCACTTTTTTCTTACACAATTTTATTTTATTTTAAATTTTTATTCAAGAAACTGGAAAAAGGAGTAGGCATAACAAAAAATTGTAAAATGTGTAAAGCTTATAAAAATTCTAAATATATGTACATATACATCCACACATACAAGCATCCATAAATATTAATGAAAATTCGACTTTCAAAGTTAGAAATTCAAAGCTTGTGTCAATGTATAAACTGAATATACGAGTTTCAAAAGCTTGTGCAGATTTACTGAATGTCAATTTCAATTCAAAATTTCATTGGGATTTTTTAAATTTTGGGATGAATTTAAAGTTAAGAATTTAATTACTCAAAAACTACTCTGAAGATTCGAATGAAATTTTTTTTGTTAAACTAAAATATTGGTTTTTATTACTTCCCAAGGATATAAGAGTTAAATAGAAGTTTAGCTTAAGTTAAAAAAGAGTTTGTGAAGGATTCATTTTAAATCTGTACAAACAATTAAAAAAAAAAGCAGTATTAAAGTTTTTTTGGAATATTTTGTTAAATTGCTACATAAATTTTCAAATAATTTGGTATTAACATAAATATTTTTTTACAGAAAGTTTGAAAAGCAAAAAAATTAAAGGTGATATCTTAAAAAATTCACAAAAAAGAGAAGTTTAACAAATAACTTTAAGATGCTTTAACTTGCTTTAAACCTATTAAACAACCACTTAACATCCAGTGAGTGTTCAGCTAAACGCAGTAATCTAATTTGTTAATTGTAAGCTAGGGTTGAAAAAATTTAGGAGCATAATAAAATTTAAGCGTTGGGTACAATATACAAAATATTGTACGCAAATGGGAATATTATAAGACAATATTATTTTATTAAATTCACTTAAAAATTACCTAAGAAGAGCAAAAATGTTTACCAAGCTATACTACATATTCAAGTACGTCATAAATCATATTAATATACCTATGTATATTATACATATAAAAATGATCACATAAATTAAACAAAATATGTAAATTTGCATACTTTTATCTATATACATATATTAATGTTATTTATTATTATATATTTTATGTAAAATGTAATTTTTTGGTCAAAAAACATAAAATTATTCAAAAATTATAACTATCGCCATAAATTAATTGTTATCATGTGCATAATATAGATACATGCAAATTAGAAATATTACTTAAATATAAATTTCTTACAAAAAGTTGAAAATATATAATATATGTATAAAGTACTAAATATCAATTAAAAACATTATGTATATAAATATGTATGTAATTATAATATACAACATCATAAGTACATAAAATAAATTGATGTATTGCTTTATATAAAATTATTATTATAATAAAAAAAACATATATACATATGTAGATACATTTACGAAAATCTTGTATTTTTCAAATACAAAAAAAAAAGAAATACAAACACAGAAAAAAATTAATTAAAATTAAATAAAAATGTTTAGAAAAAATTGTTTAAAGTAACGAAAAAATTTTCCTTTTTTTTGTTTTATTAATAATTTTTTTTTAGGAAATTTTTAATTAATTTGGAATTTAATTTTCTCAACGTGGTCGTTGGATTATCTATAATTAGTTGTGTTATAAATATTATTCTTGCAACAAAACGGTAGTGTGTAATGCAAAATCAATAAAAGAATTTAAAGAAAGTTTGGAGGTATACGAAAAAATCAAAAGTGAAAATAATAAACAATACGCTGATAGAAATAGTGAAAATTATAAACGTGTAGTGTGAGAGAAATTGTGAAAAACAAAGGAAATAGCCCAAAATATTTTGTTTGTAACCAATATAGTCCTGAAAACGCGGAAATTTAATACGGACACTGGTAGTGAAATATGTTGAAAAAGTGCCATATATCAACAGTTAATCAAAAATAATATTACAAAAATTTATAGCTATCAGTATCAGGTTTAGAAGCAAATATAACAACGAAAGGTTCATGAGATATATACATATGTATGTACTTACATTAATTAAAAAATGATGTCGCGGAAAATCTAATACAATAACATTCAGATGAAAATTGTGACAACTGATATTATCCCGATTTATAGGCCAGCTAGAAGATTTTCGCCCAATGAACAAAATTATAGGTAACCATAGAGGGTCAAGTTAACAAACTTCAAGTAGCTGAATTTTTTATCACCCTTGCTTTAGAAAACGAATTTTTTCATGTTGTGGTTGAAAAAATGAGAGTTACTACAGATGAATTTCAATAGAATATGAACTTTGGGTTATGCTCCATTTGCATTCCAAAATTATATCAATTACTTATATTATGAGAAATTTAATTAATGAAAATATAGTAATAATTTACTTATTCGACAGAGTAATACCATTAGTTATACAATTCGGGTAAGATACGGCTTAGACTGATATTAAAAGTTGCTGCTGAAATTGAATATTTTCATTATCATATTAAGAATGGACATATTTCGTCGTCTATTGCAAAATCAAAAGCAATTTTAAATTTTTCCACTCCAGCAACTGTGAAATTTGCAAAACTTTTTAGGTTTATCCAGCTATTTCAGAAAATTTATTCACAATTTTTCAATTAGGAGTAAACTGCTAACAGATTTATTAAATAAACAAAGTCATTTTGAAATAGAAGACATCCAAAAGGATTGAAAAAGGAATCAAAAGCAGTTTTACAGTACAACCGGCTATGAAAATATTTGAGTATAGTGTCAATACAGAATTTCACACTGATGCTTCTAAAAAGGATACGATTATCATTAAATTTTACGAACAGAAAACAACACTGATGCTGAAAAAAAAACGGCAGCTGCAAGATCCAAATTTTTGAACTATTGTTGAAGTTGTTAAATGCTTCAGAATCTACATATCTAATTACATCTGTCTGGTATAAGAAAGTTTTTAAAAACTTCATAAAGTTTTTACATGCAAAGCGTCTGCGATAATACTTTTTGAACAAGAATGATGACGTTATCGTTTTCTCAATCTTTAAAGTTTTTCAAGTTTTGTAAAGTAAAATTTTGTGTTTTAAAAACGTTTAAAATCTTACAGCTTTTAAAAAATAACGTCTGTTTTTCTTGTATATATCAGAAGGTTTTTTTTGAAAAAAAATTTTTTAATGAGCAATAATTTTTTTTTCTTTTAAAACTTTTCAATTAGAAATAAAATAAATAGAATGGATTCTCTAATGGTTTTTAAAGTTTCACTCTTTTATAATCAAAAATCAAAATTTATGATTTTTTGTATAATCGTATAACCAAAAAATTCGTGTTTGATAAATACTTACTTTAAAATTTGACGTTTATCACATATTTATAAAGTTTTTAAAAGTTCTTTCAAGTTTTCCATCTGGTTATGTTTTTTTTTAAATGAGAATATTTTTTCTTCTTGCGAGAAATTACATCATGTTTCTCTTGTTAAAGTTTTTTCAAATTTTATCCCAGACAGATAAAAAATCGTAAAATGAAAAAATATTTTAAAATATTTTTTTTTAGAGTTTACTTAAAAAAAAAATTTTTAATTAATCCTTCTTACAAATTATTATAGTAGAGATCAGACAAGAAAATATAACAAATACGTTCCAGTTACGACTTTGACAATACTCGGAGCGAAGAAGGATACAACTAGAAAAAATTTACCTTCATTGTTTTTTAAAGATGCCGCTTGCTTAAGTATTTCTAATTCGTTGTCCCAAACAGATCAATTTTTAACTTGTTACTTACTGTAAAACCTTCGCATGTACCCTAAGAAAATGTGATTTACAGGCAAAAGTAATCTCATTAAGAATGGATTAAGCAATACGTTCAAAAGAAAACATACAAGAGAAGCAATTAAAAAAAAAGACGAAAGGATATTGTTCAAATAGAAAATGAAAGGTATTACAATAAAAGAACAATTGGTTGTTCCACGTAAAAAATTGGTGATACAGTCGCAGTTAAGAGAGTATAATTGGAAATCAGTTTAAAAATTCGGTTTAAGTTTTTAGGTCCTTGCAAAATGATTGCAATAAAATGATTTAATAGATATGGCTTCACGAAAAAAAGAAATCACGAAGACAGTAATCTTACGAAGTCTAGCTTTTTTATACCAGATAGACTTTAGGTCTGTCTAGGATAAGAAAGTTTTTAAAAACTTTTAAAAACTTTATAAAGTTTTTGCATGGGTAATACTTTTTGAGCAAAAATGAGAGAAAATTATAACAAAATGGTAACAGAAGAAAATCAGCTTTGATAAAGTGCGTATGTAGCGCACGAAATATATTAGCAAAAATAAAAAAAAAGCATTTTATTCCGAATAAAAGGAAGTTTTCTTTCCATACCAATAAAAATAAAATGATAACATTCTCATTTTCTCAATGTTTAAAGTTTTTTCAAGTTTTGTAAAGAAAATTTAGTGTTTTAAAAACTTTTCAAATTTTACAGCTGTCAAAACATATGTTTTTCTTGGTTATGTCTGAAGGTTTTATTTTTGAAAAAAATTTTTATCAACAATAATTTTATTTTTCAAAACTTTTCAATTAGAAATAAAAAATAAAATGGATTCACTAATGGTTTTTAAAGTTTCACACTTTTATAATCCAAAATCAAAATTTTGGATTTTTGGTATAACTAAAAAATATGTATATTTGTGTTTGATAAATACTTTGAAATTTGAGGTTTATAACATATTTATAAAGTTTTTAAAAGTTTTTTCAAGTTTTCTGTGTAGTTTATTTTTTTTTAAGTGAGAAATTTTTTTCTTTTTGAGAGAAATTTTGTCATTGTTTCTCTTTTTAAAGTTTTTGCAAGTTTTATCCCAGACAGACCTTTTATGTTCATACAAATTTTATCCTCGACTGTAAAAGGATGACAGAAAATCAGACTGTCAAATATATGTTTTTGACAGGTCGTGTATACATTACTAATGTTACTAATGAAATGAGCTGCAAATTACATACATACATGCTAATTTATTATCAAAAACGAAAAAGGCATTTAAGAATCTTTCCAACCTGTTATTTTATCATGCCTTAAACTTTTACTATTAAAGTAAATGTTTACCGAATAACAAATAATCTAAATCAAATAAAATCTGAAAAAAGTTTTTGGCATAAGTGCATACATAAACTACTAAACATGTCCTTATTTCCTCAACCTCCAAATGTAAAAGCAGAGAATGATAAAAGAAGAGCATTTTTTGAAAATAAGGAATTGGATGATTTAGCCCGATTATATATTGGGAACTTTCAAAGGCTTGTCGCATTTAATTAAGAAATTTTGAAAATGTTTTAAATTAATAAAATTTTAGATACCGTGAAAATATAGTAATTCCTAGAAGTGTTGGACCAGTTAGCATAAAAACAAATGAAGAAAAAATTATAGAAAGCGTTCTTGATAGCTGTTCATTTAAATCTGTGTTAGCTTGTGTTTTGGGTAAGGAAAAACTACGGTCATTTTAAAATTTCCTCAAATGTATATAATATGTTACATGTATTCTGTTTTACAACATGTATAATACATTTTATTAGTTTTTAACTATCAACCAAATTATAAAGAACCAGAAAAATTTAAACTAGAAAATTAAATTATGCTAATGATATATTTCATTAACTGTTGGTACCAAATAATATTGAAGTAAAAGCAAATAAAATTTTATAGGTTACGGCCTGGGTGCCGCAATTGGGTTATTTAGTTCCTCCGTTAATCCAAATATAGCGGATCCTTTAGCAGCAGAGAAGCAACAAACGGCTAGAGAAATATTTCGTGAAATGAGAGCAACAACACATAGCTATGCAAAAAATTTTGCTTTGATTGGAGCTGTATTTTCAATGGTTGAATGCCAAATAGAATCAGTAAGTAGAACTTTTATAAAAATTCGGTGTATTAAAATAAAATTGATAAATAGTAACTTTTTTTGTATAAATTGTCACACTTCATATTCATTTCAGAGTCGAGGAGTTTCTGATTGGAGAAATGGGACATATGCTGGTGCAATCACAGGCGGTTTGATCGGTTTAAGAGCTGGGGTGAAGGCAGGAATAGTAGGTGCAGCTGGCTTTGCATGTTTCTCGACAGCGATAGATTATTATATGCGTCATAGATAATATGTGGAATAAATTATCTGTTTATTTTAATTACATACTAGTTAGTTGGACTAATAAATATCACTTAGTAATTCATAGTTTTTAATTTCATTGACTCGAGTTTGTAAACGGAAAACTTTTTTCTAGCTATTTAGCTATTTTCAGGGTTTCAAAACGTATGCAGAAAGAAATACTTATTAAAGGGCAAACTAAATGTAGAATATAGTATTTTCTGGAAAATAAAAATTCGATTTCCAAAATACATTTTTGATCTTTATTTAAAATATGTATTATATGAGTACAAAGTTGAAAAGGGACCCATTTGCATTGATATAATATATAAAATAATACATCAAACGGATATAACATGATATATAAAATTAATTAAAAAATAATTGAAAATTTTTCTATGCAGAAGATGAACTGATAATCAAATAGAATATTTTCAAGAAGACAAATTCACCGTTTAAAAATATTTTATAAAGTGTATGTAACTTTCACTCCAGAACCTTGTTTGACCATGGTATCCTTATGCATTTGATAAACCAAGCCAAATTTATCGGTTAATTGTTCCATACGTAACGATTCTTTTAACTTAAGACCAATTTCCATAACAGCTTCTTTGTTACTGCCATCAGCGGTCCAAACTGAAATTTTATCAGCTTTTGCTCTAATATTGACGACAGCGCCGCATATCTGATCTGAATGTTCAAATGTTTCACCAATTAAGCATAAAAGTACATCCAGCCATAAATTATCTAATTCGGTTTTCCGTTGTTGTCTATTTAATGTTATAACCCAACGGCCACCTTTGATGTTAGCTTCATCCTCCCACATTGGCCTAATTCCTTTTTTGAATAATGAATAATCACTTCCAATTCTTACTTCGGAAGCTAATTTAATATGGTTATACAAACTCCAAAAATCTTCAACTGTTTCAAAACTAAGTACAATAATATTCTTTGGCAATGTTAAAATAATTAAATTTTAAATTAAAAAAGACTTTATACCTTGTAATATCATTTTGTAATTCTTCCCATGACTTCGTACGATCGCTTTCTAAATACCAAAGAGTCCATTCATTTTGAAGTGGGTGTTTCATTAAACATTCTGCCGATGTTTCACTTTCAACCTTTTTTTCATCTGTAGACTCCTTTTTTTTTTCAACTTCAGATTCGTTTAATACCATTTCGATTTTTTTGTTTAAAAAACTACAAAAAATCCAGACAAGAACCCCAAATATATATTTTCTTTTACGAGTGCAATTCCGTAGAGAATTACGCTAACACAAATTATTTATCTTCCTTGCGCTGTCGTGTTATGAAGCGGTCAGAGCTTTAATTAATTATACAAAAAACGTTCTCTAATTCACAATTATTTTTTCTTGACATATTATACTATACAGAATATGAATAATATGTCAGATTTCTCACTTACTACAAAAATATAAATATGTCAAGTTTTCCAGATTGATATATCCACACTAGGCAAAAGACGTGATGTCGCGGATGTGTTATTCATTTTTCAGCATACGAAAACTGACTTAATCTCTCTCGAGATTTTAAATAAAATTGTTACTACCTCTAACTTTGCGTCTCATTCTCCTCTTGATATTGTTCCTTTTCATAGGACCAATTATGGCAAACAGGAACCTGCCAGTAGAGTGCTGAGTTTACGTTGAAAAAACTTCTATTTGCTTATAGTTAAGTAGTGCTTCTAGCGAACAAGAATTAAAGTTTTATTTTTTCATTGTATTCAATAGAGTTTTTTCAGTAATAAGTTTTTATATTTTTATAATAATTTTAAAAATGAGTATTTAATTATTTGTTATAGTTTATAAAATATATGTATGTATGTGTGCTTACTTTAGTTTTCGTAAAATACTTGAGCTAAACATAAATAAATAGATAAATTGATATTAGCCACCTTTAACTTAAAAAGTAAACAAAACAAATCATTTTTTCACTTACTTAATTTTTTTTATTTATTACACTTTTTTATTGTAAAACTCTATTTTTATTTAAAAGATCTCTGCAAAATATTCTTTTTTTTTAAAACAAAAAATATATTTTTTTTCAAATTTTGAAAAATTGTCTAACGAAACATAAATATTTTATGAAAATTAGCATTACCAAGCATCCATATTTTAAATATTCCACAATCAGAACAAAATATTGAAAAATTTTTATGATTTCTGTATAAAAATTTTTAATTTTTTTCAAAATTCAAACCTTTTTTAAATTAGTTGATGGAAAAAATTAAAAAATATCAGTTATAATAAAATTTTAACTATTTTATTTTATTTAATTATATTATTCCACGGGGGAAAAATATTTTAACTTTTTGATTTAAACTGGCAACAATTTTTTATGTTGCAGTACTTAAATAATATTCTATGCTGGCTTGAAAAATTTTCTACTACTCTTTGTTCATACATATATGTATTATAATATTATGAGCACAGAAAATTGTAATTGAAATATAACATTTGCTATTTATTAAAAGTTTGACATTAAGGTGTAAAATTGATATCCAGATATAAATATTCATTAGAATTTATCAAAGGTTATAGATTTGGTCTAATGTGTATTATTTTCAAAAATATTTTAACGAGTGAGAGTTTGGATAATAGCAAATTTTATATTTGAATAACAATTTTCCGAACCCGTAACAGTTAAATAGTTGACATATCAATATCAGTAGCTTTTGTTCTTAGTTATTGCGTTTACATGTGAATCAAAGATTGAGAATCATGATTGAGATTAGTGAAGATTCACCATGTAAATATCGTCAATTAATCGTTTTCATTAAACTTTTGATTGACGTAAAGTGTAAAAGTTAATTCACTTCAATCTTCATCAACAAACAAACATGTGATTTTGTTTAAAAAACGATTCTATTTTGTGAATAATATATGTATATGAAAAGCGTTAAAAAAGGCTTGTCATGTAAAATTTTTAATACATTTTTAATATACGTATTAAAAGGAAGCTCCTTTTTATTGGGAATGAAATACATATTAATTCTGCTAAAACACATATAATATATTTCGTGTGCTACATAAGCACTTTATTAAAGCTGGTTTCTTTTAGACAACACAAACTTTCAAGCAAAATTTGATGATTTTCCTTGATTGGATGGAAATTTGATGAAAATTTGTTGTGTAAACATACAATTAAACCAAAAAAAAAATCATATGAGTATAAGAGAGTTTTGTCCAATTTTTATTAAACTATTTAACAAAAATAAAAAAATAAAATAGCAAGGAAATTTTACTCCTTAAGAATTCAGTGATCCACTGTTTATTGTGAAGTTTGTATTTTTAAAGTTTTTTATATAGTTTAATGTTGTTGAAAGAGGCTCAAAAAATTGCTAGTGGACGACAATTTAATTATTTATTTTAATATGTTTTAAAATCTTTTGAAAAAAAAGAGGGCTCGTGGAATAATCAAAAACTATAAAAATTACTGTGAATGAAACATCTGTTTCTAATTTCGACTTAATTACTTTTGCGTTGGTTCAAATTATTTTCTCTATGGTTATTAGTTAATTATTTTTCTTTTGATTTTAATCATTTATTTTCCACATACTTTTATTTTTCAAATAAACCACTCTCACTTTGCTTCTACTATAGATATACTTCGATATGGATAACTAAAATTAAATTTGATACCAGATTTGATCAAATAATGCTTAATGTGTAAATAAAATTCATCCAATTTCAAAGTTGTCAAATTTAATCGTCAAAATTCACTTGATGTATGAAGGGTGTCTTACGTTACATTTTATCGTATGTATATGAAAACAGTATTTTAGCAAAGCGTCTGTCATCATTTCTGTTGACTGTTGGATTGTTAGGTAATGTTTACATATAGGACAAAATCTACAAAATCTTAGGTTAAATAAAATTTGCTGACAGTCTGACTTAACGTAAAAATTTAATAAATCTACCATAAAAATTATAACCAAAATAAAAAACCGTTTCTTCAAACATTAATTATCGCTATTCTACTTTTACAAAATCTGACAATAAGTCTGACGTGAATATAGTAATTCCTATTATTTGCTGTTGGACCAATTCTGATAGCAAACAGTGTCTATATATACACAGCTTTCATACTCAGATTAAATCGTAGATTTATACGAATATGTAAGTAGTAACTTAGTTAATAAACTTATTGTGAATGCCCAATAAATGTGAATATAATGTTAAAAATGAAATTTGTTGATAAGCAATTTACTTTATTGCTGGCTGCTAAAAATCGTTTTTTGACAAAAGGTGAATTTTTATAAAATACACACAAATATTAAAATTAAGTTATTTGAAAGGAATGTTGTGGTCAATCACACTACATAAGAAGATAATCTACTAATAAAGAAGAATCTTATTTAATTAACGTTGTATTACTTTAATTTGAAAACTTAATTATAAAAAGAAAAATAAATTAGAAATATTAATTAGGTGCTTCTAATAAAAATATGTATTCAATTTAGACGGAATATCAAATGTTGGGAGTTGGTGTTATAGTTTTGGAAGAAAAGACTGGCATTGTATAAAGAATATCAAAAATGGAAAATAGCAAAAAAAATTAATATCAATGAAAAATGGTTTTAATATAGCGGAAGTTTAAGTGCTTTTAATACGATCAATTCAAGTGAAAAAGAAACATTTTTTTTTTTTGAGACAAAACGCGATTTTAAATATTGAAAAATTGTGACTACTCCCTTGGATATATTTAATATTTCACGAAAAATCGAAAAAAATTAAAATTTAATTCAAGTGTATGAGTTGAGGACAGAAAATTATTGTGAAAAAACTTCAAAGAAAAAAACCATGAACGGGTTAAGTTTAAGCGAATTATGTTGCTTATTCTGTTGTCCACCGTGTCCATCCAGGATTGCTTCAAAATTAGCATTTCTACCACCAGAACCCACTTATGATATTAAAGCTGAAGAAAATAATCCAACAAAATTTACATTAATATTAAATGAGCGTGCGGATTGGCAATTTACAGATCGTGATAAGGAATATATTGAAACATTTTATGCAAGATCTTCAAGAAATAATAAAATCGCATGTTTATTTGTTAGATGTAGTTCAAATGCCAAGTGAGTATGATATAAATTGTGACATATGTAAGATTATGCCTTAATTAAAAAAATCTTAATTAAATAATACAAAAGATATATTTATAATAAGGAATTTGGCATTGGTAGAAAAAGTACAATTTGTGTATACAGAAACTGAACTTTTTCCTTTTTCATTACTTATGATAAATCACCCGAAAATCTAGGATGTTGATAGTTATTAATTTTGTCAGTGTTGCTTGATATTTCATCTAAAACGAAATTCTAAAATGTTTCCTTAAACGAAAAAAAAAATTAAGTAGAGATATTTGCATATATACATACAGGTAGGTAGATAATGTACCTGTTTAGGTATATAGACTATACGTTATAATACAATTTATATAATACAATATATATGTATAACACAATTTCATATTTATCTACCTTGCATTGTAGATAAAAATGAAATTGAATGTTGTTATTCTTGTAATATAAAAACTTTAAGTAATTTTTCTATAAAAATAAATCAATATCGCCACCGTACGAAACTAAAAAGCAAAATAAAATAAAAGAAAAGTTTTTTTGTAAAAAAAAGTTTTTAATCAGGTTGATAAATTATGACGCATATCTTGTACATATATATCTATCCACATCACATATACATATATTTTTTTTTAATTTTCTTAATGAAAATAGTTTTGAAAATTGGTTCAAATTGTTCTCTTGTAAAATTGTTGAAATTATAAGTATCAGAAAACGGTAATTACCTACCTATTTTAAACTAAAATATTATTTCAATAATGGCTATTATTCTATGAAAAACTTATGTATAACTAATTTTTTGCTAATATATAATATTTATGACCGGTATTGTGGTAATATATAATATATAATGGCATGCCCGGTAGATAGGTTTACGGACTTTTTAAATTTAAAAAAAAAAGTAAACCAGGGGTTAGACATTAACGTATTTTTTATGAAATTACTTATACTTAAAAAATTTAAAACGTAAGTAGGTATTTGGGTATCTAGGCCTAATTATCCATAAATCAAAGTTTTGATAATATTTTCTAAAGAAGTTAAGTAAACAATAATAAAATAGCTATTTTATTTTGAACATTTTACATTTTTGAGATAATTGTAGTAAGTATAACATTGTTGTTATATAAGATGTTGCTTAAAAATCTAATATTATTTAAAAACATATTCACATAGAAAAATAAGTTTTTAACAAAACATAAAAAACATTAAATTATATATTCTTTAAGTAATAAAACAATAAATAAAATAAACTGTTTTATACGAAAACAATGCTACCTACCTACATAGATAGGGCTAATATTGTTTGGTCAAACTACTCTTGAAGCTTTTTAGATTATTTAACCAAAATATAAATTTTTAATAATCAGAGAAAAAAAACTAATTACAATGGATTAATACTAGTTGCGAAAATTAAATTGATATATGTATATGTTTATAGGTATTTACATACCTCATTTTATAAGATTATTCTGATAAATTTTCGTCTGAAAACGTCTCAAAAATATTTCATAAGATCTTAAAGGGGATAATATCGAACCAACAAATATGAAACGATTTCCAAAAATACACAAGTAATTATTGAAAACAGCCCTGTTGAACAATTCTTGTGTAAAATAGTTTTGTAGGTGTAAGTTTTTTTTTAATTTCTAAACTTAACTTTTCAAAAATCCAGCACATTTTTGATTAAATTCTAGCTTTTCATTTGATGTATCAAATTTAATTTTCAAATCGCTAAAATATCAATTTGTAAATGTTTGAATGCACAATATAGTAATTATTTTTCTAAATTCAACTTCCAAAAATTAAATATTTTAAAAATATTTATATACATATATATATATATTTATTTATAATAGTACATATTTGTTAAATTAATCCATACATATATACAGATTCAAAGAAACATATTCATAAGTATAATATGAACTATCATTTTGTAGCATGTAATGTTAAAATAATTTGAAATACTAGCAAAATTAATATTAATAAGGTTGTCTTAAGAGCATATTTTTCCGTTAACAGTTTCTATTATGGTTCTGATTATGGGTTTTTAAAATAAAGTTATTAGTTTATTTTAGCTTTAAAAGTTCAATCAATAGATAACGTTTTATCTTTTTTCAGTTACATTTTGTCGATAAAATTTCTTTGTCAACCAAGTATTCAGGATTAATCGAAATGAATTTTATGGCCATAATAAATAAATGATTACCTTTATTGCTTGGAAGGCTCTATTTTTATTAAACTTTATTGTGTCCATTATAAGTAGTGTATATTTTATATAGTTAATGACTATAGTATGATATACACTATATACATATGTAAACATAACCATATCTTATACTATTTATTCAAATATTCAGCGTCGATAAAGAATAAAAAAATTTAAACTAAAACATTTGTGAAAAATTTATTTTTGAATTTGGAAAGCATAATGTGTGTTTAACTGAGAAAAATGTTTCTTTTACAGTTTCGAACTGCCATTACAAATAAATTATGTATATATATCAAATGTGAAATTAAATTTTTAACCTTTTCTAAATTGCATAATTTTTTTACAGATTTACCATTCTGTTTTCGCATGGAAATGCTGTTGATCTCGGTCAGATGACTAGTTTCTTTTATGGTTTAGGACAAAGAATAAATTGCAATATATTTAGCTATGATTATTCAGGGTATGGTGTTAGTACTGGGAAACCTACAGAAAAAAATCTATATGCAGACATTGATGCAGCGTGGCATACATTAAGGTCACGATATGGTATTAGTCCAGAAAACATTATATTGTATGGTCAAAGTATTGGAACAGTACCTACTGTTGACTTAGCATCCCGTTATGAAGTAGGCGCTGTAATTTTACATTCACCTTTAATGTCAGGAATGAGAGTGGCATTCCCGGCAACTAAACGTACATGGTTTTTCGATGCATTCCCAAGGTATATTGAAAAAGAAAATTTAATAATTTATTTTAAAAATTTTCTTTGGAATTTTTAGTATTGATAAGGTACCAAAAGTCACATCGCCAGTGCTTGTAATTCATGGGACTGAAGATGAAGTAATAGACTTTCAGCATGGTTTGACAATTTACGAAAAATGTCCTCGAGCTGTTGAACCACTATGGGTTGAAGGTGCTGGACATAATGATGTTGAAATGTTTGGTCAATATTTAGACAGATTAAAACAATTTGTGTCAGTTGAACTTGTTAACTGACAAAAAGTAAAGAAATCACCTATTTTAAATAATCAAGAGGCTGATTCAGGTTTGTTTCAAGATAATTTTTACTTTAAAACTTTATTTTGATGAATTGTGAATCAAATATTTGTTTACCTTAAGGTGACGACATTTTAAATAATATTGATATGAGTGAAGATGAATCTGTAACGATGAGTTCTAACTCCAATACACACAATTCTACTACCGAAAAATTACTCTAGCATACAATGCCTGGTGGAAGCTTTAATCATTCTTCAAAAGCTGATGAAAAAATTTTGAATTCTCAAAAAACTACTAAAAGTCTTAGTACTAAGAAATCATCAGCTGCAAAATGTGATTCAAAAAATGAAAAAGCTAAACCAGGCAAAGCAACAAACGTAATTAATGATTCATCCTCCACACAACTTGTTGCAATAACAAATGAAAAATCAAGACAACTGCAGCAACAAACAACAAAAAAATCTTTAAATTTCATTAAAGCTTGTTCTTCTTCTAATTCTGTATCCCCATCAAAGTTGCCACCACCACCTTCTCCGCCAACACTTTCAAAAACTGATGCAAAAACCTTTTTGAAAATTGAAAATCGTGAAAAAGAAAAAATGATGTGTGAAGCAATAGCTACTATATCTGATAATAATAAAAAAAATATTTCTGCAAATTCTTTAAAACCACAAAAATCATCTTTACAATCCAACAAATCTAAACCCGATTCAATATGCTGTACATTGTGCTCATCAAGTGATGTGAATGAAATTACTTTAAAAATTAAAGCATGTCAGAGTTGTAACAACGTTTCAATCGACCAAATAAATTGTAGCGGGCAAATTCTGGTAAAAACAATCACAAAACAATCAGTGTATTTATTAAGTATTTTTTATTTCTAGAGTTCACCAAACGATATTATTTCAACTTTGACTGGGCAAAGTTCAATTAATTTTAACTACCAAAGTCAACAACCACCTCCAGTTAGCACAGTACAACAATGTTATCATCACTTAACTAATATTACACAAAAATTACGCAATATGTATAAAAACCAAATTCACACATCTCAATCGCAATCATCGTCCCAACGTTCATCAATAGTAACAATACCAGAGCAAGATATACCTATGGAATTTTTTAAAACACAACAAACAGATGCAAAATCACAATTAAATTCTTCGAAACATTTTCATTTTTCCGTAAAAAAGACCTCACCAAATACGGATCAGCCTCAATCTGAAAAACAATCAAATAATTCTACAATAAATTTAATTTCTTCCAAACCAAATATATCATCAATTTTCAACAATACAAGTAATATATCCAAATCAAAATATAATCAGAAGCAAGAAACTTCTAGTAAATGTAATATTAATGGAGACGTTTTAGTTTTAAAAATTTGTGATTTAGATCATAGTTCAAATTTGTCTAACAAAAAGTGTGAAAGTATGGGTAAAGTAGTTGAAACGACAAAAGCAGTAAAGTTGAGTGATTTGAATGATTTTGACCATGAAAAGTCATCCAACAGAAATAATAGCAATAATAACAATAATAATGAAATCTCATTTATCAAAAAAGACTGTCAACATGAAAATTTCAATCCCTTACGGCGTCAAAGTAGCGTAGACGTTGCAACATCTCCTTCGTTGTGTTCTCCAGCTCAGGAAGTCACCGTATTTAACTTAAGTCCAGATGAAATTAAAGTTGAAAAAATAACATCACCAGCACCTATTACTATTTCTCCTACATATTTTTCAGATAATAATAAGAAATTAAAGATCTCTTTAAAACGAAATGATTCATATCAAAGTGGTGATTCTGGAAAATTATCACCTTCTCAGATGTCATTCCCAAAAATTTCGCTACCTTCAAGAGGTAGTTGTGAAAAAAGATCACCAAAAAGTCATCAATTGCAGAAATCTCCATCAGGAACAAATTATCAATTGAAACAAAATAAAATAAAGATTCCTCGTAAAACTCAAAGTTTTCAGGGTGATGATATTCCAACAACCGACAGGTCGAAAAATTTGGTCAATAAATCTTATCGCAAAATAATGGTTATGTCCGAATATAATAAGGACAAGAATAAAATAAAATATAATAAACATTCAGATTTTTTGAATTCAAATTTAAACCATCGTCGTAGCTTGATGAAAAAATCAAAACAACAAAACTCTGAAATATCAAAGTCACTAGATATACTATTACCCTCAGATATCTTGAATGATTTTTCCGATCTCCCAGATTCATTCTTTAATCTTCCACCTTACACCCTAACATCAAAATCAACAAGTAATTTGAATGCAATTGTTAATGACTATGACGATGATGACGAAGGACCTTTTGAACATATCAATTCGGTTGAATTAATTTTTATATCTGATGAATTTTTAAATAAAGCTGTTAAACATGATCTTAAAATTATTAACTGTACTACAGATTTAAATGAAAAGGTAAGGTCGCCTATAGAAATTAAAGTAAGTAAACCGAATGTTTCATCAACTTCATCATCCAAAACAAGTTCCAAAAATAAGTTGCAGAAAGGTTCCTCTTCAACTGAATCGAAAACTATCAAAACTCCAGATTCAGTATCAGGTGGCAGTAGTCGTAAAAACTCAATATCGCCGTCAAGGCCCGATAAACCACTAATTACAAAGAATTTATCGGACCTAAATATAGGTTCAAAAAAGCTTATTGTAATTTCAGAAGATTTCAAGAGAAAATCACTTGAAAACACAGTTATCATAATCAATCAAACAGAAGATGACGACATAAAGCCACCTTATCCAGTGCAGCATCAGGAACTTGCGTTAAAAAACTTACAAAATTCTAAAGATAGAAGTCCCAGTGAATGTGGTACAACAATTAACAGCAGCAGTGATTGTATTGATGATAGTTTAAATGCTAATTTAAAATCAAATACGAAAACTACAACAAAGCGTAAAAATTTAAAAGAATTGAAATCTTGGGGTAGAGAAAGTTCTGTGGATGATGTTGGTAATCAGATGGTTAGTCATGCATTTTGTTCAGCTGAGGAACCTGATGAATTATGTCTTGAAAACAAAGAGATTGTTGAATCCATTAAATAAAATAAACTTTCAAAAATTAAGTCAAAACACGGCGAAAAGTCACGTCAATATAAGTAAAAAATTAACTTAATATTTCTGAAATTTGAATGTTTATTAAAGTAATATTTAATAATACATGCATTTTTGAAATTTTCATGGAAAATAATCATAATATTTATTATTGTCTGAAGAGAAACGAAATTACATAAATATAATAAAAAAATAATAAGTATTTTATTGCACTTTGAAAATTTTCAAAAACAAAAATAGTAATTATGTAAATTATATATGTATGTATAAATTATTTTTTTTAAATACATAAATGCATAATTTTTAATAACTTTAAAGAATTGTGTTAATACGAATAGATGAATATCCACAAAAGCCTTGTAAAGACAAACAATGTAACGATGTTTAGTGACAAGGATAATTGAATAAGTATTGAAGGCACATTTATGAATGTTACATATATAATTTAATTATGATTTTTATTGTGTTAACATTTTTATATAATATTTTAAACGAATTTACTATTGAAACCCTTTTTGCTTCTTTAAAATCTTGAAAACGACATTCTAAAAATCCGAAGAGTACCATATTTTTGTGTAGTATTTAGTAAGGCGGTATTTTTAGCCTTACGCAGTTATAAAATAACTTATTAATGCGAGAAGTTAGTTTTTAGGTGTGTTTTTAAATATTTTTAGATTATTTCAATAAAGTTTTACTTACCTTTCCGAAAACAGTAATTTTTATTTTTAATTTTTTTCAAATATTTAGAAAAAATCATAAGGTTGCCAAAAGTCATGCTTATTTTTATTCCTTGTATCTGAGTATCGAATATCTAAATATCTAAAAAAAAATTTTATTTTAAATTACATACATAATAAATATTTTAGTTTTACTTATTTCTTTTTAAAAGTATATATATATGCATACATATATGTGTACATATTATGTGAACATATATTATAATATTTAGTTTATAACAGAAAAAAAATTATTTTTTTTTCTTATATAAAATCTTATGTTTAAGTATTTTAAATATTCTTAAATTAAAAAAAAAAATAAAACAATAAAAAAAAAAATACATTATTTTATACAAATATATATAATAATCATTTTTTATTCTTTATTTTTATTGTCGACTGCATCTTTCTTTTCTTAAGCTCTTTATTGTCTCCCCTACTGATTTACAATATGTATAAAAATAAATAATTTTGATGTTGAAAAACTTTCCTAATAATATGCATGTCCAAAATATTCATAGCACAAATTATTAATGTTTGTTTCCGTGTATTTCTTTTTTGTGGGTTAAATTTTTTTAATATCACAGTGTTGCAAAAAATACAAAATTTCCATCGTTTTTTTTTTCAAATTTTAAAATTTTTGTATTTTAAGTTACATATTATATTAAAATAAAATTCAACTACGTTATCTAATTAATATAGTGCACATTTTGAAGAATAATTAGCACGAATCTAATAAAAAGTTTTACATAATTATGACACAGATTTTTAAATAATAAATTATAAATTTCAAGTATTTTTCTATATTTAAAATAAATTCAAATTTATACTTTTAAAGTTTACTTCTTAAAAACCAAAAAAAAAAAACCTAGTGCAACTTTTATAAAATTAAATATTGATAAAAAGAACACTAACATTTTATAGGATGTCTACCAAAATGCAGGTTTAACATCAATTCTTATTCAACAATGCTGTTTTAATTACTAAATAACGTAAGTCAATTTGATGTTAGATTTGCATTTTGGTAGATGCCCATATATTTCAATTTGTAAAAACAGAAATAAATATATAAATTTTAAATAAGGAAGTCTTCGTATGAACAAGTATTTAGTTTTGTTTGACCAAGTATTTTAACATTAGATACGTATACGCATGTTACTGATTTTGAGTTATTGTCTACGTTGTTACTTATGTATGTGTGTTCATTTAAAATATTTTATTAATTAAAATTTTGAATATTCTGTCTAATTAGGTTTTTCTTAAATAAAAAAAGATCGTTAATTTATTAAAAAATTTTTTTTCGCGGTTTAAAAAATTTGATAAAATTGTTTTCAAATTTAAGTCGCAACGACAATCGTCGCTTAACTTCGACAACTAGATTAAGGCTCAATATGTATTTTTTTAAAATTAATCCGAACGAGAAACACGTAACGGTTCTTTCAAAAAAAACATCAGAACCAGAACTTATTCGCTTATTTTGTATCAGATACTTAAATTAAATTTCGTTAATTGTAAAAATAAAATTTTTTTAAAAGTAAAGAGTATTTTTGTTTTATCGGGCAATGTATTTCGAATTTTTATAAATAATATACACAAATTTACCGTAAACTCATAATTAAGGTTCTTGACGTATACATTTTAATTTTTTTTTAAAAAAACTTTTAAGTCTTTTTTATTTTAATATTTCTTGAAAGTCTTATGACACTTATGCAAAATATATTATATTAAAATATATGTATGTACATTTTATGTGTATGTCTAAATACGTGAATGATAATATTTTAAGGCATTATCATTCTTATTGATTTATTTGGTTTTGTTATCGATAATTTAATAACTATACACTATGTCTTATATTATAATAATCCCAGAATATTCGTTAATAATAAATTCATATATTATTGAATATTAATCTGATATTTATTTAAGCTTTTAACATGTTTATGATTAAAAAAAATACAAAATATAATTAGGTATATGAAATAACTTTAACTAAAATTTTCCCATTCAAATAAATTAAATAATTTTTAAATTAAAATTTCAATATTAATTTTTGTTTTGCTATTAGAAAAATGTTGATGGGTTCCATACAGCCAATAAAAATATTTTATTACAATAGTTTTAAGTTTTCAAAGGAGCTTGGCAAATGAATTTTGTGTTTAAATGTCGTATTGAGTAAGGAAGCTTCTACTGTTACTGAAAAAAAATTTTTTTCGCTGCCTAAAGGAAATTGACATTGTAGAAGGAATATAATATACTCGTAATCAAACTTGTTGCCAAATTTCGATAAGAATTTTTAAAAGAATCAATAAGGGAATCGATTGCAATGAGTTTTCCTAAAATTGTCATTTCTTAATATAAAATATATGTCTGAACCATAACAATACGATGCAAAATATGATGAATTTTTGCTATGAATTTATACTAAATAAAAATTTAAAAACAATAATTAAGGTCACAATAAAAGAAAATAAAGTAACAGAAAGAAAATCGTGAATTGGAAAATGTTTACTTATATAAGAAACCTAATTATTAACACTATTCAAAAATATGATCTTTAAGACCGTGCCAGCTGGAGGGAAAGTTTTTGAAGTCATCTACTTTTGATTGCATAATTACTTTAAAACTTTTCCGCTGGACATATTATTTATCAAACGCTGAACCGTGTGAAGAACTATAATCTTCTAAATTGTACAAGTTTCTTCATGATAGTTGTAATTATCAATTATCATTAATTTTTGGTGACAATAGTCACTTGAAAAAACAGTTGACATTTGATCTAAAAAATCTGAATTTTAATGTTTTTATTGAAATGTAACAAATAATAACAAAGTTGAAACAAAATTTTATACAAACTTTTTAATTGGAAAACTAAAATTGAATTTAAAAAAATTTTAAATTTTTGAAAGGAAAAAGTAGAATTTACGAAAAACAAAAAAAAATCTAGTAATCAAAAAAATTTTTTCGAAACTTTTCTTGGTAAAGAAAATTATAGGTTTTTAATTTTTGCCAATTTTTATAAGAAATGGTACCTATATGCTTTGAAGTTTTTGAACACATTTTTCTCAGATTTGGTGCAATTTAAAAATTTGAAAAAAATATTTTCGAAGTCTGGACACCGTTGGGTATCTGAAGTTATTAAAATTATCCAGCTGAAACGAATTTTTAAAGACATGCCATATAAATTTTGACATTTATTTTATTAGAAAAAAATTTTTTTTAATAGGAAAATTTAATTTTGTTGTACAAAATGGAGTTTATAATTGATATGGTATTAATATTTTAAAGTTAATAAATAATTAATAAATAATTTGATGCGATTAATAAATTTTAAAGAAATTTCTACAAAAACTAAAATTGGTGTACGAATGATGCAACTAAAGAGGTGTTCCGGTTAAACAATTAATTTAAAATATGCGATTGAATAGAAATATATTTAAAAGAAGAAAAACATAAATTTTTGCCGAACTAGGTGAATCTCATAGGAGAATTTGGGGTTTGTTTTTAGAAATTTGTAAATTTTTTGGATAAGGAACTCTTATTTTTCTAAATTTTTTGATAAAGGAATATTAAATTGAATTTAATTTTAGTTTCATCAACATCTGGGTTTGATTTTATTTGAATTTGTGGCTCACAATATTTGTGGTTTTTGTGTTATATCCCCTCTACCATAAAAAATCTTTTAACGTTTGAGGACTTAAATTAAAGTTTAAACAGCTGGGAAAAATTCTATTAAAAAGAATTTAAAGTTTTTAAAAATTTCTTACGAAATTATCTAGTTAAAAAAACTGAAAAAATAAAACAAGGGAAAAATTTGATTTTCCCTAAAGTTCGAATGCTTTTTATTCCAAGGTACATAAAATACAGAATCAAGCAACATTTTTATTTTAAGCCCTTTACTAGGCCTTTCAGAAACTGTGTGTTTGAAGTTCCTATCTTTTTCAGCACGAAAGTTGTAATAAAAAAAACTTGCATAAGTAAAAATTTCGTGAAAATTCGTCAAAATCCCTGAAACTCGGAAACCATTGAGATTTGGCACCCAGTCCGGAACAAATGTTTTACCCATTTTCGATCTTCTAACCAATGGTATATGGGCCAAAATGTTTTAAAATTTAGTGAAAATTACAGATATGGATCTAGGTTACAACTCTATGATTCAGTAACTAAAAGAGACAGGGAAAAATCATACATATTATGAAAGACGGTTTTGTAAAACATTTACGAAAGTGTTGTTATCTCCAAAAATCGAAATGGCGGATGGATCATCTTAGCATTGGACCGACAATATGATATAACGTAATATTAGCAACTCACACAATCATGTTTTATACGATTAATTTTATATTCAATATACATATTAATTTTTATATCTAAGCTTTGTACGAGAATGCTGAGTGCCACCCCCTCACCGTAAAAAATCTCAAGACATGTAGTTGTTTTTAATCTTTTGACAAAAATTTAAAAATTGATCTTTTATTACCTTATTCTTTATTAATATGTATATATGAGTTATACATATGGATGTACATATGTACTTTTACCATGAATTTATTGACTTACTTTTCTCTATCCGTGGAAAATTGTGAAATCCCTTTATCACTCATTTAGTAATATGTATATCTGGATTAAAATTTATGTATATGTGTAGGTACAAGTGGTGGTTTTAGATGACACTGAATCAATTAATTTCGACAGTGAGATATTCATTACCCCAAGACAGGCCCTTTTAAACTTTTTTATGGTTATTTTGGGTAACACCAAGAAAACCTAAAAGAGGTTTTCAAGAATATTGTGAAAATAACATGGTTAAGGTCAACCTCCCAAAGATTAGGTTTAAAAAAAAAAAATATTTCTTGTTCTTAGCAATTTCTGCGGGAAATTTCTGTCGATACTATATATGTATATGTACATAGGTATTATAGAACCAGTGAAGATAATTTAACAAGTGTGTTTCATTTACGTTTTACTGTAAAAAAGTTTGATGTCGTTTTTATTTAAAAAAAAAATTCAAGATGTGTACATAAGTGTGTATGTACATATGAAGATTCAGCGACAAGCAAGACATTCAAATTATTCAAAAAAATTTTTTTTTTTTGGAAATATTAATGCTCGAAAATCCACG